GCTTCCAGGCACTGAACTCCCTCCTCTTCCTGCAGAAGATTCAGTTTAAGAGACCTCTTAAAAAAAATCAGACTATGAATTCTGATTTGTGCACAGTTTGTGGTAGGACATGGGCTGAAAACATCAAATAATGGCAGCAGCAACCCATGAAGTTTTGCTGAAACTCAGCATCTCTGGTGTCTTGCAGATAGGGGACACAAACATGGGCAGAACGACCCTTAACGTTCCTTAAAACAGTTGGGAAATGGGTATGGGTGATGAACTAGACCTTGTCATTGATCAGCATGGTCCATCTTGGTCCAGGGACACTCTTCCCTGCCCTGCTGTGACACTTGGAGCTGAGACAAGGATTAAGACTCTCCTGTGAGAGGAGGATTCCAAAACTCACTTGGATTTCAGCCCCACTGATGGGCATTTAATCCCATCCTTCAACCCAGTCCCTGCCCACTGGCCAAGTGGGATCAGCAGAACCATCTCCATCTTCCCAGAAGAAGCCACCAAAATATCTGAAACAGCATCTGCTCAAGAAAGTTGTAACCCTGAATTTCCCCCAGCCCCCTGCCTGTACCCTTGCAGAGTTGTCAGCTCATGAATGGGTGGCTCTTGGTGCTGGGATGGATGTTTTGGGTCTTTAAAACATTGTGAGCCCTGAGGGGTTGGAAATGGCTCCCCAGGAGTGCTCTCCGAGCTCCACATGTGTCTAGCACCTTTTTCCAAGGCTCAAAGGACCCATCGTCAGCTGATTCAGCAGCAGCTTCCTGGTGGTGGGGATCATAGAATGGCTTAGGTTGGAAGGGACCCTCGAGATCATCTCATCCAACCTCCCTGCCATGGGCAGAGATACCTCTCAACTAGAACAGGTTGCTCAAGGCTTCATCCCACCTGGACCTGACCACCTTCAGGGAGGGGCATCTAGGGGGGGGGCATCCCCAGCCTCTCTGGGCAATCTAGTCCAGAGTCTGGCTACCCTTGTGCTGAAGAACTTCTTCCTAAGATCTAGTTGGGGTTCTGGTCCAGCAGCCCGTGCTGCAGGTGACGGCCATGAGCAGCTTTGCTCCGACAGAGAATGGGTGAAACACTTCCACCAGCCAGGAGGGACTGATGTGCCAGAATCACGGAATGTTTTGGGTTGAAGCCACCCTTCAAGGTCATCCAGTCCAACCCCCCTGCAGGGAGCAGGGACATCTGCAACTAGAGCAGGTTGCTCAGAGCCCCGGCCAACCTCCCCTGGAATGGTTCCAGGGATGGGGCAGCGACCACCTCTCGGGGCAACCTGGGCCAGGGGATCACCGCCATCAGTGTCAAAAATGTCTTCCTTCTCTCTAGCCTCAATCTCCCTCTTTTAGTTTCAAACCATCCCCCCTTGTCCTGTCCCAACAGGCCCTGTGAAAAAGTCCCCCCCCAGCTTTCCAGAAGGGAGCACAAGAGACTTGTGGGCTCCTCCACCCAGCGCCCCGCCCCCAAACCCTTTTCCCCTCATCTCTCCAAGCCCTGTGAACAAACCCCGAGGGGAGATGAATGAGCAGGGTGGTGGGACTGGATTCAACCACCGATTTTAGCCCTTTTTAAGCCCTCCCCGAGCTGAGCAGCCACCACCCAGGGGGACAGATGGAGGAAGAGTGGAGATCCCAGCAGGGTGGGCTGGGTCACGGTGCCCCACGGGCACAGAGGCTGAGCCCCCGATGCCAGGGGGGTCCCAGCCCCGGGGAGCAGCGAGGGGGTGACACCGTGGGGCTGACACGGAGCCCAGCCGAGCTCCTTTCACTTCCTTTTAAGGCCCTGCTCCCTCTCCGGGCTCTGCCAAACATCCCAGCGCCACCCGGCTCCTGCTGCCCGGCTCCGGTCCCAGGTCAGCCCCCGGCAGCTGCTCCTCACGGCCCCCCTCTGCTCCTCTTTAACCCCACAAAGGTCCCCGAGGGGGAAATCCAGAGGTCCCCTCCCACCCCCACCAGGGAAGGAGAGGTGTCACTGGAGGGATGGGGATTTGTCATCCCTAGGAGCAGCATTTCCAGCCCCTTTCCAGGGCACATCCAGCTGCTGGTTTGGAAGCACCTTGTCCAGGGCATCAGTGGGTTTATGTCAGGGTATGTGACAGAGGCTTCAGCTTCTCACCTCACCTGGACAACTGGGATGAAACTCCCTCAGACCAGAAAATGTTTTCAGAGAGCACTGGTTGGATTAGATGGGCTCTAGGGTCCCTTCCAACTGAAGCCATTCCTGACTGAATGAACAAGCACCCTCTCCCACCGCCTCTCCTGAGGGTGTAAATGGGGTTGGGAGGGAAATGCAGGGGGAAGAGGAATGGAAACCCCCAATAGGTTCTGGTCTTGGACCACGAACACCATCAACACCACGTCCCAAGCAGACTGTGAGGCAGGAGCCGTGTGCTCCTTGCTCCAGTGCCTGGCTTAGAGATGCAAGGAGCTGCCATCACCTCTCACACATGTCACCCCCCCCAGCAGCCCCTGGCTGCCAAACTGGTGACATTTGCCCCATGGCAGCAAGAGGAAACCTTCTCCTCTAACCCATACACTGGGGACCCAGCTCCGTTCCTCTGTCCTGCATGGCACCTGGGGATGCTCTAGCCTCTCCAAGGGGGCATCCAGGGACCTGAGGTCCCCCTGGGGCTGGCAGCCCATGAAGTGCAGGAGTGGGGAGTATTAGATCATCATTTTTGGAAGTCTGAAATTCACCTAGGTCCTGCTTCTTCAGACATTAAGTCATTTTCCTGAGGAAGTCGCCTATGACGTTGATCTGGTTACAGAGGGAGCTGGGGTGGAGCAGTGAGCTCCAGCTAGACCACGGTAAGGTGAGGTAGCACCAGGACACCACCTCCTGTCAACATCTACAGTAGAAGTAAAACTCAAGGGGTCAATTCAATACAGCTCCTGCTTAGTCTGAGATGTTCTCACGCACATTTCAGCCCCCCTGAGCTGCTCAGTTTAACGCCTCCAGCCCTGGTTTCGATGCAAGAACTTCAGCCACTTCACCAGGGATCTCCCCCAGGCAGCCAAACATCAGAGCAAGCCCTGGCAAACAGGGGGTAGCACACCTTATCATGAACAGCAAGGACAAAAGAAAAAAAAAATCTGTATTTAATGGGTTTTGTTACTTATTACTTCAAAACACACCCCCAGTTCTACCAAGAAAAAAAAAAAACCAGAAATGGTACAGCAGTACTTTTTGTTTGAACAGTTAAAGTTTCTTCATGACAGTCAGAACAAGGTTGTTCATCCTTCCTCCGTGGACCTCTGCTGCCCATGTCACTTCAACAAATGAGAGCACTTCTTCCTTCCTCACCCAGCTTCCCATGATTTCTCCTCCAAGCCTCCAATTCAGCAAGTCCAGAGTTTAAGTTCTTAACGCTTGTGAGGAGCTCCACGGGCAGGGTGCTGAGCTATGAGGTCACCTTTGAAAAGCCCGGAGAGCAGTGACCCCAGCAGCGAGCAGCCAGACACAAACCCCTGAGATGCTGCTGGGTTTTAGTAGATCCTCTCACATCTGCCTGGGGGTGACGTGACCTCAAATCGATTCAACTGTTGGGCACCATCAGACACATGTTCAAATTTTTCAAGTCACCAACCTGGTCTGCTGGTCAGAATAAGTGTGTGAATGCACTTAGTTGGCCCTTTTACTGGCCACAGGAACTCTTCAGCTGGCTGCCTGAAGATGTTTCTTCCTTGGAGACACTCTTCAGGCTTTATCAACGTTCCTGCCAACCACAAACGCTCTATAAACCAACACCTCCACACAACTCTGTACATACGCTGACCTAACACCACTCGGAGACAACCACTGATGGCACCTGTTGCCCATTTGGGAACCCTCATCAAGCCAAGCTTCTGAAATGCTCAGCACCCACCCTGTGGAAAATCTGGCTTTTTATGTGTAGCTATCAAATTTAGCACCAGAAGGCATCCAAAAAGCACAACTCATTTCTGCTGAACAGGGCTGCAGTGCTTTATTCAGCTCCAGTAAATGGTTCCTCAGGACCGTTCGCTGCGACGCTTCCTTCAGCAGGCAGATGACGAGATGTCCTAGAAAACAACTCTCCTGTTGTCTGGTTTATGCCTGTCAAAAAAAAAATCCTTCAGGGCAACCCAAAAACGTCTACAGGACCAAAAAGCAATGTGTGATTCCAGCCAGATGAGGAGAGCAGGCTCCAGGCTGGTGTTACCAGCAGGACCCTCTCAGCACCCTTCCCTTTGACTCCTTAACTTGCATGGTTGAAGCCGCAGTTGCTTTCCCAATCCCAGCAAAGCCTTCCCCTAATTACACCCCAGCCAAGTGTGTGGGAAGCCTCAAAGATGTTTTTGAAAAGCCAGAGCACCACCAGTGTCCTGATCTATAATTAGGCAGCCAAGCCCTTCACAGAGGACATGTTCAAGGAGGAGAAGAGGAAGAGAATTTTATATGCACTGCTTCGTCCAAAAAAAGATTATGAAAGGCAGAGCAAAAACTATTTACCAGTCTTCGGGGGGAAATTAAGTTCATTTCATTCAGTCAAAGCTGAAGCAGATGTTCAATATTGGTGTGTAGGCCTCAAGATCTGCTACATCCCAGCTTCCAGGCAACGTGAACGTTTTGGGGCAATCTGGAGAGCCAGGGATGTAAAAAGAGGGGAAACAAAAAAAAACCCAAACACCCAAAGTCACAACTCAACTCCTAATTTAGTCCATCTGCCACTCACGGAACAGACCCTCAGCACTGAAAGGCCCTACTGAAAAAATGAAGTTGCATGTGAATAGATGAGCAGTCTTTGAAAAGTTCCTCTGGATTTTGTTCCTGGCTGGTGATTCCCACGCTGCTTTGTAAAGATGGTTGAGATGATTGCAGTGACAACCGAGACTCTCCTCCGATACAGAATCTAGTCCAGAGGGCTTACTTACACAGTAAGCAAGACATCTTACGTAACTGAAGATTGCAGGTTCTCCTCCTCCATGGTAGCAGCTTTCAGAAAGCCACCCAAGCTGCCAAGAGGACAAGGAGAAAGGCCCAGCTCATTTCTTCTGAAAAAAACCCATGATGGAGACCTGTTTGTTGGCCCTGTTGGCAGCGGCTGCCCCTTTCTTCAGGTTCTTCCTTTCTTCCTTTGGTTCTTTCTTCACAGGCAGTGGAGGTTGTTTGTGTGGAGCTGGTGGCTTGGACTTGGCAAAGTCATCCTCACTATCTGTGCAGGATTCGCTCTCGTAAACCTTCTCAGTCACTGGTTAAAAGAAAAGAAGAAGAGATGATGATGGTTAAGCTGGTGTATCAAAGAGCAGAGACCTCCCTACTGCAGCCCTTCAGCTGGAAATGGGAAGGGTTGGAAGGGACCTCTGGAGATCATCTCCCCCAGCCCCCCTGCTCCAGCAGGTCACCCACAGCAGGGTGCCCAGGGTGGTGTCCAGGTGGGTCTGGGATCTCTCCACAACCTCTCTGGGCCAGCCTCTCTGGGCAGCCTGCTCCAGGCTCGGCCACCCTCCCACCAAAGAAGTTTCTCCTCCTGCTCCTGGGTTCCAGTTGGTGCCTGTTGCCCCTTGTCCTGTCTCTGGACACCACTGACAAGAGTCTGGCCCCAGCCTCTTGCCCCCCAGGGCCCTTCAGCTCTTGCTCAGCATTGATCAGATCCCCTCTGAGGCTTCTCTTCTGCAGCTCAGCAGCCCCAGGGCTCTCAGCCTGTCCTGGCACAGAGATGCTCCAGGCCCCTCAGCAGCTTTGCAGCCTCCACTGGACTCTCTCCAGTAGCTCCTGGTCTCTCTGGAACTGGGGAGCCCAGAACTGGACCAAATAGTCCCAAGGTGGCCTCACTGGGACAGAGCAGAGGGGCAGAAGAACCTACCTCGACCTGCTGGCCACACTCATCTTCATTCACCCCAGTGCATGAAGAATCCCAGAGTTAGGTTTTCATTAAGCTTCCAGAATTGGGAGCTTCAATGTCATGCAGCTCTTTCAGAAGAGCTTGATGTCACACACACCTTAATTTGCCAGCCATACGCACACCTTCCAGAGCAGCCCCAAGGCTCCCCACTGGGGAACGGCTCTTGAGAGGACACTTCCCTCTTCAAAGCTATTTAGGTGCTGTCCTCTTCTAGAGATAAGGTCCAGCTGCACTGGAGACCTCCACAGCTAAAACAATTCTCTACCAGTGACTACCGTAGCCATCAATCTGTCCTGCAGAGGCTGAGAAGCAGGTGTCAGAAGTGGTGACTCTGAACGAGATCAGAAGTTGTAGTTTAGCATTAGATGATAGAACATCTACCTTACAGTTAAAAGCCACCATTCTGACTTGGTCTCATTTCCACAGCGGCCAAAGACCAGATTGTCCTGAAACCGTGGGATGGTTTTGGTTGGAAAAGACCTTGAAGATCATGGAGTCCAACCATTCCCCCAGCACTGCCAGGTCCCCACTGACCTATGTCCCTCAGCACCACATCTCCACGGCTTGGAAACCCCTCCAGGGATGGGGACTCCACCACTGCCCTGGGCAGCCTGGCACAGCCCTGGAAAATCCCTTCTGGGAAGAATTTTTTCCTAATATCAAACCTCAACCTCCCTTGGTGTAACTTGAGGCCATTTCCTCTTGTCTTGTTGCTTGTTTCTTGGGAGAAGAGCCCGACCCCCACCTGGCTCCAGCCTCCTGTCAGGGAGCTGTGGAGAGCCAGAAGGTCTCCCCTGAACCCAGCTAAGTGAACCCACAGCCAGTCCCAGCCTTCCTTCTCCAGCACCACACACATCAGAGGGTCAGGAGAAGAGCAAAGAATCTCAGAGACAAGAAAAGGAACCCAGATCTTGGGGGCAGCTTCTTTCCATGCAGGTTGGGTGAGTGGGGCAACAATAAAGAATTCCCTTAGAAAAAAGAAAAACCCATAAAAAGCCAAAGTGGTGCTGGAAACCTAGGGCTGTGGCTGCAGGGATTGCCAGCTCGCTGCTGTCAGCTTCTGCTGATGGAGAGCTCTGGGATATAAACCACAGCGCAGGGAAATGCAGCCGGAGTCAGCTCCAGCGATGTCAGCCACGGTCAGATGGTAGGAAATGTTGCTGTATTGCCTTTCCCAGCAGTGCCTGGGATTCTTCTAGTAAGCCATTTTTATTCAGCGACTGGATTCTTTCAAACAGATGTCCTAACTTCCTTTCTTCTGGGAAACTGGCTTTCCCTTGTATTAATGCAGCAAATTCAATCGGGTTTTCTCTGCAGCCAGAGGCCAGGAAGAGGAGTGGCCTGACACCCTGCCCCGGGGCTGTAAACCCACCCCACCCCTGCCAAGCCCTGACAGCCCACCCGCCACCTACGGAGCTTTAAAACCTTCTCTCCCCCATCAGCAACTCTGAAATCCCCACTTAATCCCCTCCCAGTGCAAGGGGATGCCATTTAGAGCCTTTTTTTTTTTTTTGACCCAGCTCTCAGCCGAACTTCAAAATTCCCTGTCTGCAGCAGCCATGGGCACAAGGAGAGGGAGTTAGTGATGCTCAGCTCACAGCCAGACTCCCCAAAATCATGGTAACTCCAAGTGTGTGAGCTCTTAACTGAAACCAGTGCTCCAAGATGAATTTACCCACAAAGTGCAGATACTGACCAATAAACAAGCCCACACGAGTCCTTTCAAGCTTCAGGTAGTGCGAGGTAGACGTGCACTAGCTGCAAACCTCAGTCACTCCCCTTTGCTTGTAGGCTATGGGCAGGAACTCGACTGAGCCCCACATGCAGTCTGGAAACCTGCCCTGGACTTCACTCCACAGGTATTTTAATTGCTCAGCTTCCCTCAGGGCTAATGCCTACACAGTTTTGGGGTTTTGACACCGATTACTTACGACTGCAGAACTTGGGAAAATGATCACTGAAAATCCTGGAGAATTCTCCAATACAGCCTAAGCCTAAGGTTAAGACTGAAGGTCTCCTAAAAGCTAGTCCCTGGTAAAAACACAGACAGCAGGGAGAGGGGGGAAAAAAAAAAAACTTACATTTTAAATAACAACAATTTACATTAGCCTGGGGATGTGGAAGTTCTTCGGCCTTCAAACGATTAGGCCTGGGCATGGAAAGGGTGGGAAAGGGAGGAGAAGCTGGACAAGAACCAGACAAGCTCTGCGCAACAGAGCGCTGGGTTGAAAGCAGCATCTCCTCCCTGCCCAGCTCCTCAGCATCCCAGCTCCATCCCTCCCTCCTTCCCAGAGGATCCAGCACCCAAAAGCACAACAAGGGGCTCATGTCTCCCTTGTCACAGCTGCGAGCTGTAAAAGCAGAGGTCTGGATTTCACAAGAGACTATTAAACTCTTTAAGGGTAGGGAGAAGAGAAGAAAAGACTATCTTCTCAGCCAGGTAGGCTTGGAAGGGTGGAAGAGATGGAGAAGAGCACCCTTTGCTGGAAGCTGAGCCTGGAACAGCCGTTACTGTGAGCTCTGGATGAAGGCTGTGTTCAACTCAACACCCCCAGCTAAGGCTTCTTTGTTTCCAAGGGTTTGAATGGTTCTGTCTGGGATGGGAGAGCAAAACGCCCCATAACACAACTAGTCAAAGGAGGCCAGAGCTTCATGCAAGTCCAGCTCTTCAACAATCACAGAATCATTCTGGTTGGAAAAGACCTTCAAGATCATCAAGTCCAACCATCCCCCAGCACTGCCAGGTCCCCACTGACCCATGTCCCTCAGCACCACATCTCCACGGCTTGGAAACCCCTCCAGGGATGGGGACTCCACCACTGCCCTGGCAGCCTGGCACAGACCTGGACAACCCTCAAGGGCAAGAAATTGTTCCTCAGGGCCAACCTCAACCTCCCCTGGGGCAGCCTGAGGCTGTTTGCTCTTGTCCTGCTGCTTGTTCTTTGGGAGAAGAGTCCAACCCCCACCTGGCTCCAGCCTCCTGACAGGGAGCTGTGGAGAGCCAGAAGGTCTCCCCTGAGCCTCCACAGCTCCAGGCTCAGCACCCCCAGCTCCCTCAGCTGCTCCTCACCACACTTGGGCTCTAGACCCTTCCCCAGCAGTTTCATGGCCTTTCTCTGGCCACGCTCCAGCCCCTCAAGGTCCTTCTGGGAGTCAGGGGCCCAAACATCAAACCAACAATCCAGTACTTCAGATTTCAGTGACCAGCACAGGCAGTTACTGAGGGCTTGCTTTAGGGTTCTTCAAAGGAGACACACAAAGCTAATAGGAAACATAAGACAACTGCACAGACAGGTGCAGACAGACACAGGCTGACTCACATCCAGGCAGCTCCAAGTCTGGGCCAAGCAGCCTGTATCTATCTACGCTTGTGCACCATGAAAAAGCTGCACAACAGCAACAGATCTTCTAGAACTGGCTGAGAGCCCTGGACATCCACGCAGAGCAGTGGGGCTGGAGAACATTAAGCATCCCCTGCAATTGAGCTGACAACAGTGCTACAGAAACCACACTCCACTCCTGAAGTTTTGAAATCTTCAGGAAAAAAAAAAAAAAAAGACAAAGGTTCTGAACGCCTGCAGCTCCACTTCAAACGTGGGACAGTTGAGTGGTGTTACACAGCTTGCTCCAGGTCACAGGAGGAAGCAGCATCCAGTCAGGCTGGACATGCAACACTCCAAGCTGGGGCAGAGGGGCTGGAAAGTGCCC